ATGGCCTGGAAGCCATTATCTTCACAGCCCAAGGGGACATGCGCCAGGTTGGTGGGTGACTGTTGCTGCCTGTCTTGGTTAGGGTTTCTATTGCTCTGATGAAACACCATGACCAAAACAAGTTGGGGAGGAAAGGGTTTATTTGGCTTATACTTCCATATTGCTTTTCCTCACCGAAGGAAGTTAGGGCAGGAACTCGAGCAGTGTAGGGGCTGATGAAGAGGCCATGGAGGGGTGCTGCTTACTGCCTTGCTCCCCATGGTTTCTCAGCCTGCTTTCTTACAGCGCCCAGGACCACCAGCATGGGCTGGGCCCTCCCCATCAAACACTAGTTAAGAAAATGGCTTACAGCTGGATTTTATGAAGGATCTCAGTTGAGGGTCCCTCCTTTCAGATAACTCTAGTTTGTGTGTCAAGTTGGCGTAAGAACAGCCAGGACACTGCCCTCTCAAGCTGAGGTTGAGGAGTGAGTGTTGTACCAAGTCTGGGGGGTGGGCGTTGGCTCTCTGAGAGGCAGGACCGGGAAAGACATATTGGCCCTTGATGCATCCCTTGCCCTCTCCAGGCACTGAACAACCTGCAGTCAACCTTCTCGGGATTCGGCTATATCAACAGCGAGAATGTGTTCAAGGTATTAGGGCTTGGGGCTGCTCTCAACAGTGGGCCACACGGCCATGCTCATTCTTCCCACCACAGCTTTGCCTCTCGTGCCCAAGGGACCAGTGGGGGGGGTCCACATGTGAGTGGTGCCAGATGGGCAGATCCACGCTAGCCTGCAGCAGTCTTCCTTGATTCCCTCCCTCACCACCTCCCCGCAGAGCTCCCCTGTGCTGTGGGCTGGGCTCTGGTTTCTCCTTCCCTCCCCTGTCTTCTGTCCCCCCTTTCCCCTCGCATCCCCTCCCACTCTCCTCCTCTTTTCTTGACCGAGCCTGTGGCCCAGGCTGTACCCAGGCTGGCCTTGAACCTCCACCTCCCACATCGGAAATTACAAGCATGCACCACCATCCCCAACTTACTCGTTTTAGAGACAGGTCTCAATATATAGCCCATACTGGCCTTGAATTGAGATCCTCTGGGGTGTTTTGGGTATTGTTTTGTTTTTTGTTTTGTTTTGTTTTTGGGTTTTTTTGTTTTGTTTTGTTTTCTGAGACAGAGTTTGTTCCACCCCCACTCAGCTCTTCCTGAGTTCTAGGATACAGGCATGTGTCACTATGCACAGCACCTAGGATACAGGCGTGTGTCACTATGCACAGCTCCTAGGATACAGGCGTGTGTCACTATGCACAGCTCCATGCCATTAATACCACCCAGGAAGAGAGTCTTTGGGGCCTTTGCCTGCTTCATGGTTCATTCATTTCGGATATGAGAAATGTAACCATGGCATCAGGAGCTGTCATATTTGGAGGTGTCTGTGGAAGTGAGAAGAGTTCCCAAATCCCATTCCAGTTGTTGGAGAGTTGGTGCTGACTAGTCCGTGGGGCCTCATGCTGCCTCTCCTGGTGTTTGCTCAGGTCTGTGACGAGCCCCATCCCCTGCTGGTGAAGGAGATGATCCAGCACTGCGTGGATGCCAACATCGATGAGGCTTATAAGGTGGGCCCTTGTTCCTCCCCTGGCTTCCATGGTGGCACCAGGACTCCACACCACTGCCCTTGACCCTTAAAATCACCCTTGGCTTCGGTGGACTTTCTTACTTTGCTTGTCTCTCAGAACCTGACAGAAGTGGCTCAGGAGCAGCAGGCTTTACTCGGATCTGCTTGGAGAGGGTGCAGCCATCATGGCGGGAGGCATGGCAGCTTGTGGTGCTGGGGGCGTGGGGCTAACACACTTTACTTTTTTTTTCTTTTCTTTTTTTTTTTTAAATCTGCAGGTCAGCTGCTTGTCCAGTTGACCAGGGGCAGGGCAGGGTTGGGCAGGGAAACAGGTACAGACAGAGGCTGGTTACTGAAGGAAGAACAAAGCTAATCCTAACACTACCAGAATCCACCCCAAGCTGCCAAAGCTCAATGGACTCTCTAGACACAGCCCCAGGCTGGGGGAAGAGGACTGGGAGGGAGGGGAGACACAGGGCTAATGGAATCCTGCCCTGCTTAGGTCGTCTGGTCCCATCATGTAGGGGCCTCTTCCTTACTGAGCCTGGGAGAGCCAGCAGTAAGGAATTCCACCTGGAAAGCTCTGGGTAGGGACATGATGTAGGCAGGATGTCAGACCATCGTACCCGTGGTTGAGGACAGGCACCTGCAGGGAAAGCGGGCTAACTTACCTGCATGATCAGAGGGCTGGGTGACACAAGGCATCCATGGGGCCACCAGCACCTCCATAAGGTTCAGGTGTTCCTCAGAGCCTCATGGGTCACCCGGGCCAAGCTGATGGTGATGGGCTAGGACCACTGTGGGACCAACTCCATCTCCCTTCCCTGGTCACGGTGTTCAGAGCCTGTTGGGTCTTTCATCTAGATTCTTGCTCACCTGTGGCACCTGGGCTACTCACCAGAGGACGTCATCGGGAACATTTTCCGAGTGTGTAAAACCTTTCCGATGGCCGAATACTTGAAACTGGAATTCATCAAGGTTAGTCAGAGCTCAGGAATACCTTGTGCGCTTTTGCCACCTTTTGAGTCTAGTGGCTTCATGCTTTATTTTTAGACAAGGCCTTACAGTGTAGCACAAGCTGGGGCTACAGGCATGCGCTACCACACTACCGTGCATTGGCCTCTGCAGTGCATGGTGCCCTCCAGCTCTGCTGTAGCGTGCCCATTGCCCGGCCCTTATCACTGAGCAGTGTTCTGCTGTGTGGCTGTGTCGTGGTCACTTGTTCTCTAGGAAAGGCATTTGTAACTAAAATGTCACTGCATGCTGGCACGCATGAGATAGCATGGCTGCCGGGTTCTTGTTCTACATGATTGGGTTCCCAGGTGTGAGACCACCAACTCAGACAAGTGTACATTTAACTTCGGTTAATGAATTTGACTAGAGCCGGGCAGTAGTAACGCATGCCTTAAATCCCAGCACTTGGGAGGCGGAGGCAGGTGAATCTCTGTGAGTTCGAGGCCAGCCTGGTCTACAAAGTGAGTTTCAGGGCTACACAGAGAAACCCTGTCTTGAAAAACAAAACAACAAAAAAAAATTTGGCAGGGGGTGGCTCAGTTGGGAGAGTGCACACCTCAAGTGTGCAGAGCCCTGGGTTGGTCTTCAGCCCTGCATAAGATGGGTGCTGCTAGGTGTGGTGGTGCTCACCCTCAGTGCTCCACAGTGAGACTAGGTGTGGTGGTGCTCACCCTCAGTGCTCCACAGTGAGACTAGGTGTGGTGGTGCTCACCCTCAGTGCTCCACAGTGAGACTTTGTTTCAAAACAACAACAGCAAAAGTAACTGGGTGTTCTTTTGCCTGCCTATAGTTTCATACCTTGGAGGTAGAGGCAAGAGACTCGGGGCTATCCTCAGCTACATAGGGGCTTTAAAACTGGCCTGGCCTATGTGAGAGCCTAGCAGACTGGTGCTGTAGCTCAGTGCTGGAAGCCCTGGGTTTGCTCCCTTTGCCTGGAACACCCTTTTCCAGCATGAGCTAAACTTGAGTGAAGCCAGGTTCGTCCTCTTACTATCATGCATTTTGAGGTCATTGTGTGTGTTTTGAACCAACACAGTTTAGATAGAAAGGAGCTACACTCCCGGCTAACCCACTGGTTCCTTGAATTTGTGTTTCAGGAAATTGGATACACTCACATGAAAGTGGCGGAAGGTGTGAACTCCTTGCTGCAGATGGCTGGGCTCCTGGCCAGGCTGTGTCAGAAGACCATGGCTCCAGTGGCCAGTTGAGATGAAATGAGGAGGGTCCTTGCCACTGAGACACTGATGGTCCAGCTGTCCAGTCGTGGGAGATGTGCCCAAGACATCATAGAACATGCTCACTTCACTTCTTGTTCTGGGAGAACAGGGTCTCTTGTAGCCCAGGCTGGCTTCAAACTCCTGCAGCTGTGCCTGACCTTGAACTGCTGACCCTCCTGCTTCTGCCTCCTGAGGGCTGGGACCTGAGCATGCTGGCGGCTGTGTGACTGAGCTCTGGAGGGTTTCCACTTCCGCTCTTTTATTTGAATTCAGCTGCAGGCCTGATATGGGGCGTGGCGGGAAGGTCCCCAACCTCCTCAGACCTGGGGTTGTAGCTGATGAAATCTCAGGATTTTGTCCTGCGATGCTTAACTGCTTGAGGCCTTTTGTCCCCTGCTAGTAGAAAACAGTGCCCGCGGAGCGCAGCAGGTGAGCTGGCCGGGCACCTGACCCCCTGCATGCCATCTCCAGAGCCCACGAGAGGCGGAAGAGAGCTGACACCACAGAGACAGATGTTCTCTGAGCACAGAGTGCAGTGGCACACACCTTTAGTCCCAGCACTCGGAGACAGAGGCAGGAGGATCTCTGCAAGTTCAAGGACTACATAGAGAGACTTGTCTCAATAAAAGATGTCATCTGGGCCCTGCATACATGCACACACAATAATAAGTAAAATTATAAAAATAAAATTTAAGAAATTAAGCCAAGTACAGTAACACACACCATAATTTTTCAAATTATTTAATGTGTATGAGTGATTTTTTTTTAAGGTTGATTTGTCTGTGTGTATTGGTGCTTTACCTGTGCACTGTGTTGCATGCAGTACCCGTGAAGGCCAGAAGAGGGCATTGAATCCCTTGGGACTGAAGTTGCAGATACTTGTAGACCTCCATAAGGGTGCTTGGAATTAAACCCAGGGCCTCTACAGGAACAACCAGAACTGCCTCCCCTGTCCCACAAACCTATAATGCCAAGCACTCGGGCTAAGTTCAGACTAGCCCCTGTTAAAGTGAGTCCAGGCCAGCCTGAGAAATGTAAGAGCCTCCTGATTTATATAGCAAGTTCCCGGCCAGCCAGGGCTACCCAGTGTGACTATCTTCAAAAAACCAAGAATGGAGAACAACAGAGGTAGCCGCTCAGCCCTGTGGACACGATAGACAAAGACACGTGGCAGGGCCTGCTCTTGAACTCACGGTTTATTGATGGTTGGTGAGGACCAGTTTTCTTTCCCTATCACTGACCCACAAGGTCCTTGCAAGAATGGACGATAAATCTGAGCAGGCTGGAGCCCACTAAGAACAAGGAGACCCAAGGTTACCCTACACCCCATTCATCTGTTAAAGTTAGTTCATGTAATGCTCTCTGAAAGACAGGAAGTCCCCCTGACATTGACACTATTAAATATGGCTCCAACAATAGAAGTTAACCACAGAAACAGGTAACATGACCAGAAACCAACATTCATAAGCAATGTGAGGTTCAAACAAGGAAAAAAGATACAAGGTAGTGATACACCCTGTGATCCCAGCACTAGGGCTGAGGCTGGAGGATTGCAAGCTTGAGACCAATGTGAGTGATTTTGTTGTGCCAAGTTTTAGATATGGTACTGGGGACAAAGCTTCCCTCCAGTCCTGGGCCTCCCGTTAGCACAGCCAATGTCCCCAGGCACCTGCTTTGCCCCCAGAGAAGTCCAGGGCATTGTGTGGAGGTTGCAGCCCTGGCGAGTCCCAGGGTCTCCCAGGCTGTGTGTCAGGGGGTTCTGGAACACCTCCCAGGAGCAGCCACAGCCAGGTCTGAAGCTTGAGCGTTCTGGGCAAGCAGGCTTCAGCAGGCAATGAATGCTTCAAATCACAATTCCCTCGGGCCCTTCAAGAGAGAAGAGAGTTAGGAGGCAAGGGTTGGTGCCTGGAGAGGTGTCTCAGTAAAGTACTTCTTACATAGGTGTGAGGACCTGAATTCAATTTCCAGAACCCACATAAAAAGACAGGCATGGCTGGGCGGTGGTGCCTCACGCCTTTCATCCCAGCACTCGGGAGGCAGAGGCAGACAGATCTTTGTGAGTTGGAGGCCAGCCTGGTCTACAAGAGCTAGTTCCAGGACAGGCTCCAAAGCTACAGAGAAACCCTGTCTTGAAAAACCAAAAAAAGAAAAGAAAAGAAAGAGAAAAAAAAAACCTGTCTCAACAAAACATAAAGGAAAGTTTGCCAGGGGGCTGGAGAGATGGCTCAGCGGTTAAGAGCACTGGCTGTTCTTCCTAAGATCCTGAGTTCAATTCCCAGCAACTACATGGTGGCTCACAACCATCTGTGATGAGAACTGGTACCCTTTCCTGGCCCGCAGGCAGAACACTGTTCTAAATAAATAAATCTTTAAAAAAAAAGGGGGGGGCTGGAGAGATGGCTCAGTGGTTAAGAGCACTGCCTGCTCTTCCAAAAAGGTCCCGAGTTCAATTCCCAGCAACCACTTGGTGGCTCACAACCATCTGTACTGAGATCTGGCGCCCTCCTCTGGCGCGTGAGCATACATTGAGGCAGAATGTTGTATACATAATAAATAAATCTTTAAAAAAAAGAAGGAAAGAAAGCCTGTAAGGATTGCAAACAAAGCTACTATAAACACTGAAAAGAGAGAGAGAGAGAAAGAAAGAAAGAAAGGAGAAAAAGAAAGAAAGAAAGAGAAAGAAAGAAAGAAAGAAAGAAAGAAAGAAAGAAAGAAAGAAAGAAAAAGCTTGTCAAGTGTGGTGAAAGGTAGGAGGGAGAAGGGAGCAAGACCCAGATCCACTGTCCCTCTCGTCCACTAATAAATCCAATGCCTGCGCTGGCTGACCGCCAGCCTCTCCCATGCCCTCTGCTAAAGATGAGTATCTTGCTTCTGCCACCTCCCTACGGCTGTTCCAGGATGTCCTTCCCAATGAGGAGGAAGAAAATCCTGGTCTCCACCACCCCATCTCAAGTTACAGCCGGTTCTCCTGGTTGTTCATCACCAAGGCTTCTTACCAGGGAACATATTACATTTTTGGTTTTGGGATTTTTTGAGACAGGGTCTTACTCTGTAGGCCAGGATGTCCTGGAACTCAGAGATCTGCCTGCCTGTCTTCTGAGTGCTGGGATTAAAAGTGTGCACCACTATGTATGGTATATTGAATTTTCTTATGTTTTATTGTTTATCTGATCCTTCCTTCCTTCCTTCCTTCCTTCCTTCCTTTCTTTCTTTCTTTCTTTCTTTCTTTCTTTCTCTTTATGTTTTTTTTTTTTT